GCCACACAAGCCTCGAATGAATGGTACAGTGATTGTGCCAGAAACGAGAGATCGTCATTTAGAATAGAATATGTGTGCGTGAATATATAGTGTGCTTTGCGTTTTCATGTCTGCCGCAGCAGCAGCAGCCACGTTCGGAGTTTCTGCGCGCAAAATAGGGAAACTGGGAAATTTGCTGAAGTAGAAATGAAACAGCCAACTGTCAAAGTTCGAGGAAACTGGACAATTCACAAATACATTTTCGAGTGCACCAACCACGCGGAAACTCAATTCCAAGGACATGTATATATATATATATATATATATATATTTGCTAGAAAACTTTAAATCTCTCGAGACATTCACCTTTTAAAATAATTACGAATAATTATTTCTAATGAAAATATTTCGCTTTTGACTCACTCTACAAATTTTAATTAGTGAAAATTTCAACTTATTTTTATTCATTTTTCACTAAAATTTTAGTTAAAAAAAAAATACTAATAAATACTGATCAAATAGTAAATATTTTATTAAAAATATATTTTAAAAAAATATTACTAAAACAAATAGTAATATTTTACTACTAGTGAAAATTTACTCTCTACTCTCTAAATCTGAATTAGTAAAAATGTTTACTAATTTGAATTAGTGACTCACTTTTTGCTTCTAAATTAGTAAAATTTTACTAATTATTAGTAACTTTTACTAACAATTAGTAAAATTTTACTAATTCAGAAGCAAAAAGTGAGTCACTAATTCAAATTAGTAAACATTTTTACTAATTCAGATTTAGAGAGTAAATCTGAATTAGTAGTTTTTCTACTAATGAAAGAGTGCGGATTCGTTTACCAATTGAATTAGTAACAATTTTTACTCTTTTTTTAGTAGAAAACTACTAATTCATGGAGTAAGTCATATTTTTTACTATTTCAAATTAGTAAGCCGATTTACTCCATGAATTAGTAGTTTTCTACTAATGAAAGAGTGCGGATTCGATTATCAATTGAATTAGTAACAGTTTTCTACTAGCAATTAGTAGTTTTCTACTAAAAAAAAAGTAAAAATTGTTACTAATTCAATTGATAAACGAATCCGCACTCTTTCATTAGTAGAAAACTACTAATTCAGATTTACTCTCTAAATCTGAATTAGTAAAAATGTTTACTAATTTGAATTAGTGACACATTTTTTGCTTTAGAATTAGTAAAATTTTAATAATTATTAGTAACTTTTACTAACAATTAGTAAAATTTAACTAATTCTAAAGCAAAAAGTGAGTCACTAATTTAAATTAGTAAACATTTTTACTAATTCAGATTTAAAGAGTAGAGAGTACAGTAATTTTTTGTCAATTTTTAACAAAAACTTTAGTCAAAAAATTACTAATAAAATACTAAATCAAATAGTATCATTTTACTAAAACTACAGTAAAAGAAATATTACTAAATCAAATAGTAATAATTCATTAAAAATTAATAAAAATTTCTACTAATTTAAAATAGCAAAACGAATTCTAACTAATTATTTTATGAAAAAAACCTACGGAGAATATTTACAAGTGAAATTACAATAATCATATGACCTTAAGCAAATTTTATAGATAAAATTATAAAAATAAAAAATCTGTTAGTAAAAATTGAAAATTAATTAAAATTTCTACTTTGAGAGATAATAATAAGTTTAATAATGGTTTTAACAAAGTTATTTAATAATTTCTCTGTATATGATATATATATATATATATAATTCCGTTAACTTTTTGGATTTAAAAGGATATGAATAAAAGAGAAGCTTTATAATGAAATGTTGCGCGTTAATTGAAATAATCGGACGAATATAATTGCAACAGGATTTTCGAGTGAAATGTACGAATATAAATTCGTAACAGAGACGTAAAGTCGAAATATAAATTATTTTACAGATATTCCGTAATCGTTTATGTTAAAAATTTATTTTTCAATCATATATGGGCGAAATAATGAAAAGAAAAAAATTTTTTTTATTCAAATAATCGGTTATACTTTAATAATCAAATTATTTGAGGAAATAAATTTTTTTTTTTAGTGATATAATAAATTTTATAATTTTCCTTTTTATTTTGATATACAAATGTCATTAATGAATATTTTAAATTGATAATTATCCCTTGCGTCTGTATCATTTAATATTTTAAATTAGCGTCTGGGTTACTAATTAAAACTCACTTATTTTTATCAAATTATAAATAAATCGAATTTCGAGTATTTTAATATCTGTTCGATTCTATAACGGTAGCTATATAGAGAGACGTAAATGTTTCATAATTTTTATGCTATTAAAAATAAATACACAATTTAAATTAAATTAAATTAAATTTATACAATTTAAAAATTAGATTTATAAAAAAACAAAAAAAAATATTTCCTATTGTAATGATTATTGTTGCTATTTGTAAAGGAAACAAAAAATTAGTTGCAGTACCTAACAAAAGATAAATTTGTCTCAGAGCCAAATAAATATTTGTAAGTTTTATTTGATTTAAATAAAAACTTTATTTGCTCTAAATAAAATTGTATTTAAAACAAAAACTTATTAGACTCTTAGACAAATATATTTTTAAATTGATTCAAATAATTTTTTTTCTTACAAATAAAGGATTTCTTTGGTAGTAGAAAAAGTTCTTTAAATAAAAAACGACATTGTTTACATTTAATATCTTCAAGTTCTGAATATTTCCGTTTTATCAATATAGAAACAATTTTAAATTCCTTACTATCAGAGTATAATAACTTGAAAACGATTTTCAAACTTGCAGTGTGAATTTCCTGCTGAAGTAATTTGCTTAAGGAAAATGACTTTCTGAAACAAATCACTCTCTCTCTCTCTCTCTCCCTCTCTCTCCCGTTTTCTCCCTCAAACAAGAATAGTTTGAACGAAAGTAGTTTCGAATCAAATTTTCGCTCTGCCTCTCGCTTCGTTTCATTTTCTCCCTGAACATATATCGTGCGATTTTCAATGAAAGTCAAAAAAAAAAAAAAAGGAAAAAAGAAAAAACCAGGAGAAAAAACTTCCTATCGTGTCGAGTGGATATATATAAAGAGTATATACACATTGAAATATATGAACTTTTCACCCCGGTAATGTAGAATGTATTTTCATTTTCAAATTCGTGGAGAGGAACACGAGTGACTGCAAAATGGAGTTATATATATAAATAAATAATAGTGGAGTCGAATTGTACAATATAGAATTCATTGGACACTGTTAACTCATTGGCTAAAATAATATATACTGTATTTTGCATCTGTGAAAATGTAACTATTGGAAATGTGGCATGTTCCATATATAGATATAAAGACACTTGAATCGTTTCCCGAGGAACAAGTCCTGTAGATGTCATGTTTGTTCGGTGATGCCGATGATCGATGTTGATGACAATGTATGATGGTTATGTTCGATATTTGAAAACTGTTCCCTATAAACTTCTTTAACCTCTTATAACAATTTCAAAAAAATAAAAATTCTTTTCAATATTTCAGAAAATATTAATTAAAAAATACATTTCATTTTTTTTTTAAGTTCATTTAACTCAAATTTTGTATATTTATATAATATTTTCCCTATAAATATTATATTTTTTAAAAAGAAATATTTTTATTTAAATATTTCATATTGAATTTTTTTTTCTTGTAATTAATTTCAGCTATAGATTTATTTATCAAAACTATAAACTTTATTTTTATTAAACTAATATTTTACTTGGAAATTTTATATATTTTAATGAATTTCTAAAGAGGGGTTTTACTTTTCAAAAGTTATCAAATTATCGATATTTGCCAAATTCAAAAATTAATTAAACTTACAATTTGCGAAAAAAAAAATTATTAACTAGTTTATCAGTTATAATTTAAATATAATTGAATTTAATAATAATTTTATTTTAAAGATAATAATTTAATAAAACTCGGGAATATATTCCTCAGATAAAACTTTTAGTTCGAAAACCTCTGTAAATTTAATGTTGAGAACTTTGAAAACCTATGAATTTTAAACACATTCAAGTTTTGTGTGGTAGAAAATTATAAAAGTCCCTCTTAATTTATTAAATAAAGCGTATTATTATTATTATTTTTTTATTATTTGAAATAAAGCTTAAATTCATTTAAAAATTTCAAGAGATTTAAAAAATAATTTCCATTAAAATTCTATAAATTGATATTAAAATTTTTATTCAAGTACGCAAATGTTTTTTACCTTTATTGTAGTGGATTAAATAAAAAAAACAGTGGATTTTACTTTTTCTTCTTTTTTTTTTATGCGCGCATATAGAAAACCGCGTAATCTATGTGGTTTTTATTATATATTTTTCTACTACTTATTTTCGCAATAAAATGTTTATGCTCCCAGAAACATCAAAGGATTAAAAACCCAAGTTAAATGATAAATGGCACCTTTCAAAACTGAGTTTCTTCATCGAGAAGACTGCACACACAAAATATAACTACCGCGTTATCGCACTTTACACCTTGCCTTTTTTATGCATGAGAAAAGCCAACGAGTTTACTTTTAAACATATATTTTTTTTTTTCACTGCAAGAATGAAAAAAAAAAAAAAAACTTCTTAAATATTCTTATATACTTTAAATTCATGAACAGGATTAAAAACTACTTTAAAAAGTTATTTATTTTGTCATTTAAATTTTGATAATGTTTTTAACAATTTTTATCATATTTTTTTATTTTAAAAAAAAAAGTGTTTTTGCAAAATAATTTATAAAATTATTCTTAATGGCTTTATATTAAATAAATATATTTTTATTGCAAAAATAGGTATTCTTTTTTTTTAAATCAAATAAAAATCCGTGTCTGGCTTTTATTGATAAGATCGAAGGTTTAAAGAGGTTGGAAAGAAGTATACGAAACAGTTTTCAAGTCGATAAGACTCGTAAACGATATATAGTCGGAGAAATACTAGTATCGCGGTGAAGTGGAGTAACGTTAAAAATACACGGATAGCATAGATGATCAGAGTTACTTACCCAATGCTGGCGTCGTGTAGTCCCAACTCTCGGTATCATTTTTGTAGACATTCAATTTTGTTGGCTGAAACAAAGCAACAATAAAAAATTATTATACAAAACAAATATTTTTTTTAAAATTTCATTTGATATATTTTTTCTTTTATAATGTTTTTTAATTCAAAATTTTTTTTTTCTTTTTTTTTGAACATTAATTTAATAAGTAACAGAAAAAAAAGTTTCTAATGTCCCATTAGTGAAAATTTCACTTAGGAGAATTTTAATCCCCAGTTAAAAAGAATCATACGCGAAAAATCTTGAAACTGACAGATTGAAGAATTAAGCGAGACACTATGGAGCATCAACAGATTATAAATCCGTCTAGTGCTGAGGCCTGAAGCCTTCTGAAATCATGAATAAATAAGTAACTATCAAAGCCTGTATGACTATTCTGTTAGCGATGAATAATTTACACGATAATTCCACAAGAGAAGGATAGAGAGAAAGAGAAACAAAAATTAACAATCAGACGAAAAAATTCAATTTTTTTTTTTGACAAAATTTTTGCCATTATAAAATTCAAACTTTGTTCAGCAAATATTTCCCAAAAATTTCATTACACTGAGAAAAAAATTCGTTTGAAGCAACCAAATTTTGGTTAAATCAACAAAATAAATACAGTTAACCAAACATTTGGTTGCATAAACCAAACGTTTATTTAGCTCAATTTTTTTCTTTGTTCAGAAAAATTTATTACAAAATAAACCAAACAGTTATTTAGATCAAATAAATATTTATTTAAATTAAATAAATTTTGTTTGAACTAACCAAAAAATTGGGTAAATATAAAAAAATGGTACATTTGGTTCAAATATATCTTTTTTCTGAGGTGGAAAATTATTCAAAGTAATTTCTGTGCTAAAATTTTAATTATACAAATTGGTACTCTCTAAATCTGAATTAGTAAAAATGTTTACTAATTTGAATTAGTGACTCACGTTTTGCTTCTGAATTAGTAAAATTTTACTAATTATTAACTTTTACTAACATTTAGTAAAATTTAACTAATTCTAAAGCAAAAAGTGAGTCACTAATTTAAATTAGTAAACATTTTTACTAATTCAGATTTAGAGAGTAATTCAAAATTTTTGGTAAAATTAAAAACATTTCAATAGAAATTTATTTTTTTCCAAAAAAGAAAAATAGGTCGAGAGAATTCGAATTTTATTTTTTGCCTAATGTATTTTTATGCTCGCTTTTTTGACTCGAGATGTGAGAACTGGAAATTAAGAATTCAGGATTCAAAGTGCATTAGCGAACAGCGTCTTGCATACGTTTTCAAGGTGCTTAGGTTTGAATGGCAACTGGGACATTTTAAAATCTATAGTAAGCGCTTTGCAGTGCACTGCAATGTTAAAAAAAAAAAAAAGGAAAGAAAAAAAAGAGAGAGTGAGAGAAAAGAAAAGAGTGGGTTCCCGGCTTTGTAGGGTATATCGCGATGTAAGCAGCTCCGCGAAGACCTACAAGTGTAATCTTCTTGAGCCTTTTGTACCGAAGCAAACACTATCATCGTTATATAGATTTTTTCCCCTTGTTGAAACTTATCGAAAAAAAAATATATACAATTTTGCATATTTTTTTATTTTCTCTTCCGAAATAATTATAAAAAAGGAAAAAAATTTAAAAAAAAGCGCCAATAATCCAATTTGTACAATACATAATTGAATGTTTTGTCTAATTATTGAAATATTGTTATAATTAATTCAATAGTCATATCGTCGTCTCTAACAGTACTAAATATAGAAACAATTAATAACATTATTGTTACAAATGAAAGCGTACAAATTTCTATATAACGAAAGATAAATTGCCTCGTGGAAAATTATGTATACAAGTGTTAACCGTGAATCAATAATCAAACAATGGCATTCTTATAATGTAATAAAATTATATTATCTAAAATTGAAAGATTAATTTTTTTTCCTATTTTAAAAATAAAAAAAAAAAAAAAAGAATTGAATTCCAAAAAAATTACGCAATTTAATGAACAATAATCAATACATAAGGGGATGAGTCACAATCCTATATATATATATACAATAAACGCGCGACCATATTCTCTGGAATGGTGAACTCTAACAATAAACCATTGAAGGTTTGCTATTATCATAAATAAATTGGTTACGATGACAATCATTCCGTAACAATATTTATTCCTGAATAATCATCAGAGATAACGAAGTGCATTGTTCAATTTTAAGTTAGATAATAACAAGAGAGGCCATAAATAAAGTTGCGCCAATTTTATTTCCTTTCATTTATAAATATATATTTTTATAAAAAAAAAATAATTCACTTTTTCTCCCCTAAAATTATTGAAATTTTATTTATAGAAAAGAATAATATTCTAAAGATTGAAAATAATAATCATCAATTGTGAAATAAAATGCTAATTGCTTTAATTAATAATTGAAAAATAAAATGAGAGTATTTTAATTATGTAAAATATTTCATTTAAAAATAAATGCTTTTAACATTTCTATCAAGTTTAAAAAAAAAACACACATTCATTCAATGTGTATAATAATAAATTTTCATCAATTGAATTCAATTGTATTTTGCGGTGAATAAAAATTTTTTTAGAGTCCAGTGGAATATTTCACTGTTGGCAAAATTTATATATCAAATATCATTTCAAAAATATTACATATGTTATTATTATTATTATTATTTCAAGATTTACGTTGATAGGGGGAACGCGCTTTGAGTATCTTTTTGAGAATACAAGAAGAAGTTGCATAAATTTGTTCTAAGAAGTACCTACTGTCTGACTTTTACGAGGCGTAAACGCATTTTCCGCCAATGTGATAAAACACTTTGTGATATCTTGACAAAACTGCTTTTAATAGTAATAATTTATATGACAAAATGCCATTCCTTATAAAATTTGATTAGTCACTCATGCCATTTAGAAAAAATTTTCTCTTTTTTATAATTAATTTTGTCAAATGAAAAATAAAAAAATCTTTTATTAAAAAAAGACAAGGACCAATTTTTTTTTTAAATTGTAACTCTAATTAAATTTTATAGAAAATTGTGAGCCACAAAAAAAAAGAAAATTCCTCAAACAATATATATATATATATATATACATATGGTCACTTTTGTTTCAACTAGTCTCGTGAAAACGAGGACAATCACTCATCAAGCAAATTGTAGAACATATTTCAAAGTTCCTCAATTCAGTGATGAAAATTTGGCACGGAAACGGAATCCCTCTATGAGCCCGGAAGTCATTTTGGCCTACTTTAGTAAAAGCAAAATCATTTCCAAAAAAAAAGATTCAAACTTGCAATTTTGATTGCTAGCAGATGTTTTCTTGCCAAAATATTATTAATCCACTAAATCATTTACTGTATGTTAACTATGCGTGTAATTGTCCAAAAATTAACCGTTTTTTTTTATTTTAATTTACACAATTTATTATTATGCAATCTTTTTTTAATGAAAATATTTTAATGAGATTTTTTTAATGGCAATTTTTTTTTAATAAAAAAAAGAGATACAAAAAGAATCAAATTAGCAGCAATTTTTCTTTTTTTAATGACAATTTTTTTAAATTAAAAAAAAATACAAAAAGAATCAAATTAGAAAAACGCAATTTTTTTTCTTGGGATAAATAATCATGGGGTAAGTTTTTTAAAAAACGGGTTTAGTATCTAAAAAAAAAAAAGTAAATAGAAAATGGAAAATTTTCACAGAGGCAAAAGAGTGAAATGATGGATCGTTAACTATGTTAAGTGAGTCGTAAATATTTTCACGTTATTTCAGTTGAATAAAGTTTGTGGGTTCATACACGAAACCTCAAATTAGTGAACATCAGAGAATAAAAAAATACATTAACCATCATTACTAGAATAGGAAAATTATTATATATGTAATTATTAAAGAAAATAATAATAATTAATCCCGAAATTTTATCAAAAAAAATAATTATATTTTCCCATGAAATTAAAAATTTTAAAAACAATTTTTTTTTAAAGGGGGAATTATTTTTGTTCACTTGAACTTCATCCACGAATGTTTTGAAATTTTCCTAAAATTCTCGCGTTGTCATCACAAGATTCTATTTCCTCTTTGCGTTTCATTCTCTCTTTCTAAATTCATTGTCACGATTATATTTCCCTACTTTTAACGCAAGTTCAATGTTCTTTCCATATCATTAAATAAGGTTAGGCGTTTTAACTTTTCCAATTTTACTGATCATTAACTGAAATCTATTGAAGACGAATTATAGCGAAGAAAAAAAAAGGTAACAAACTTTTTTTCGTAAACATATTTCGTTCGCATAAATTTTATAAAATTTCCCTAAAGTCAATTTTTTTTTAAAAAAAAATTTCCGAGCGTTTCTAATTAATGGGAAAATTAAGACAGTATAATGAATTTCAAGGGCTTCATTTAGTTACAGAATAATTATCGGCATCAAAACTTTTAACTATATCGTTATTATAATTACCCTTATAGAAGATGTAGTTACCGAAAATATTTAGCGTTGTAATTATCTTTATTAATGAGAATTATTATTATCCTAATAAGAGATCAAGTAAAATGAAACTAGAGTGAAAAAAAAATTTAATTATAAAAAATTTAATTGTAAAAAATTAAAAATTTAAATTTTAAAGAATTTTTAAATATTTTTTAAATTAAATAATTTAAAGCAACATTTAATAAATTTCGTTTTTTTTTTGATAACATTAATAACGAGTTAACTGTTTAACTATTTTTGTTTTACTATATTAGTATAGCAGTTGTTGCCACTGCTGTTGCAGTAAAATAGGAATAGTTTAACAGTTAACTCGTTATAAACATAAAGTTACCATAACTAAATATTAATAATATAGAGATACTTTGAATAATAATTAATCCCCACACGCATTCATTCTGCCCATATCCATATCATAATGATCTTTACAACGTTATTATCTCACAGCAGTTTATCCCGCAATATAGTTATTTACTTCTCCAAAAGATTCGCAATTATGTTTTATAAATATGAATAAAATTATAAAACTAAAATAAATTATA